GAAAGGAATGCGCGTTGAATTTTTTGAACTTGTCCATTTTTTTCTCTCCTACTATAGAAGATTTTTGGAGACAGTTTTGTCTATTAGAAAGAGATTTTTATTGTGCTTCTTTTGATATATTTTTGTCCATGTCTACTTTGCTTTTTTTGAGGGAAAAAAAGTTTGAGAAAGAGCGGTGTCCACAACCAGTCTGAGCGACGCAACAAGGCAACACGAAAGTGGCAATGGCCGGAATTCTTCTTCGTCGCTCCAAGAACAGCGGTTTTTTCGACTCTATTATTACATCAAATGAGAAAAGGGTCTGCTTCGATAACGCAACGAGAAAAGGACAGTGGTTAGACTCCAGTGACCCTCCAAAACGGACTCCGAAACCTGATATACGCGGCAAAAGGTGATGCCCGTGTTTGGGGAATAGCAAGAGGTTTGGAGGTGCTGTTGAAGTTCGGAATCGGCGTCAGTACGGTTACGGCGACTCTGCAAACACCACTTGAACGGCATGTCCACACTGCGTCTCAATAGTTCGAAAAGAAAGACTTTTCGACAAAATTTATCCACGACAACGCTCATCCACATGTGGCGAAAATCACTCTAGAAAAAAATTGAGGAATTGGGCTGGAAAGTCCTGCCTCATCCGCCACACAGATCAGACCTGGCACCATCGATTACCATCTGTTCCGGTCGATGCAGAACTCCCTGGCCGAGAGAAAATTCACAAACCGCGAAAAAGGTCCAACTCTGGGTGTCCAACTTCTTTGAGTCGCAGCCGGTCGAGTTCTTCAGAAGAGGAATCCATTTTTTGCATAAATGTTGACAACAAGTCATTGATACTAATGGAGATTGTCTTTTGAATTTATCTTGTTTAATTTCGTTTTTATAATAAAAAATTTTTTAAGCTCGAACGCGCATTCCTTTCCGGACAACCTAATATAATCGATTTGAATCACTAGGAAAATGATAGCTACGTATGGCGTAATAACAAGTAGCATTAGGTCCATCTATAGATGTGTTCTCGCCCAGATAACCCTCTCATGGCTCCTGAATGGGATAGATAAGCATTGTTCGAGAGCGAAAGGACAAATCATAGACTTGAAAGTGATCTCCACCTTCTGACGATAGTGTTTTGCACGCGAAGGATGCCCCATAACAAGGCTACCGCGCCCTGCCAAGACCTTTTTATTCCAAAAACGCGGTGACTGGAATCAGTAACTAAAATAGCTCCAACACAAAATGGCTTCAGAGGTTCACGATAAGTTGACGAAGTGAAGTTTTCTTTCCATGTCGATGACGATTGAAGTGCGGCAAAAACCTTGCGTAACGAACTTTCACTAATCGTAGGTGACAGGACTGGAGCGAGTTTCGCGCGGGGGTTCCGGAAAGGGGGCGGTCACATTGGGGCAGTGGGTCAGTATTGTCATCCGGGCCGTCGCGTGCCCGGTCCCCAAATGCGACGATTTCTGAACCTACTTGTCGTTCCTTTCTAATCGGAGTCTCCCTGGCAAAAATTCATCGCCCACGGCATTTGCACAAACCACATCGGCTCTGTACTGAACCACCCACGTTTGGTAAGTTGCTCACTTTCGAGGGGGGCAGTGGGCAGGAGGGCAGGATCGCGTGAATAAGCTTCATGGAATGCGTCAATCTGTCGACTTCAGCCGTTGGATGATTATGGCATTTAGTCTGAGTATTATACCGTATTTAGTCAACGCCTGTTGAGGACTATTCGCGTTTTAATCCTCCCAAACATGTCCGGAAGAGTTAAAAAGTTTCTTTGGTCGGAGCGGGATCTGATCCATGAAAAATATATGTAGGATTGATGCGACCCCTTACCGTGCCAACGATTGTTTTGAGGTATTTCTAGAAGTCGGAAACCACCAAACACGAGAGTTCCTTTCCTTTCATTCCGACGTCCCTTCCTCACAACGAGTTTCACTTGAACAACTGGCTCGAGCGTTTTTTAAGACAATTTCCAGTCTCCCTACCAATTGACTAACGAGAGCTGAACGTGATTTGCATGACCTAAAAAGTCGGGCGGGTCTTTGGCTGGTTGCCTTGATAACGACGGTTTCAGAGGCTTCCTGAATCTCATCACCTAATAAGATTTCTGAACAGCTCCTTTTAGCAAACTTCTATGGTCCAGAGGGCCTAAACGAAAGGTGAAGGGATAAGGGGGTTTTTGAAAGATTTCCGATCTCTACACGGTCCCCTTACCATTAGTCTTTCAAGACAAGAGAGAGAGAATTTGTTATTAATCGGTAGTTATCACAAAAATGCTGAAAGGGGTTATGGGCGAGAGTCTTGGTCCCAGAGGGGATTCGAACCCGCATTTCACGCTTTCTGGACGAGCGTTGTAAAAATACAATACAAAATACACAAGAACCATCAAGCTGAGAGGGTATTACCAGGCCTGGTGGCGTAACGGATAGCGCACTTTCCGAAAAGCGTGAGGTGCGGGTTCGACCCCGCCTGGGGTCACGACTTTTGCCCATGAACTCAGCATACTTAAGATAAATTTTGAAGGGCAAACTGCGGCGTAAATAAGCATTTATCACAATAAAGCAACGAATTGGTAGACTTGTAATGCTCGTAGTCTCAATTTTGCTAAGCATTCCAAGGAGTCCCTGAACTACTCCCTGCAAAAATAACTCTTCTTGAAGCAGCGTTTTTCCGCTGTAATTCTGGAAAGTCATCATTCAAGATAGTTAGTTCTTGGTACGCGCGGTTGACGTCTCACTTTCTTCTGTTGCGCTGTCATCATCTGTCCGACGAGATAGTTGGCTCGATAAGACCGTCACTATATCGGCCGATATTCGATCCCATAGAGGTTGGTACAGTGATAATATCTTCAAACGACTGGGTTGTGTGATGGGCGTGTATGTGAGAGCAGCCTGGGAAGCCTTACTCGCCAATAGTAGCTGCTCAAGATGGCATAATTGGTACAAAAGGCTTTCCTGGCTGCACGTCCCGTCAAACGCCTTATCGTTTGCAGGGATCATGACTGTAGGGAGATAGGGTGACACACTTGACGTGAAGCATGGATGACGTTGTGGCAAAGTGAAAACCCCAGTAATTGGACTGTTCTCAAGATTCCTGCGCACATCTTCCAAGACATTCTTTCCTACCGCGATGGTCAATCGTATTTCCTTCAAGTTTCCTGTCGTTAGCGGCTATGAGGCAACACGTCTAAAACCAGTGTATAACATTAAAGCTCTCCATTTGTCCAGTTTCGATCTCGAACAGAAATCGGATGCTTGACGTGTCCGAAAAGATTGATCAGCTCCATATATACCATTTTCACTTTAAATCGGACACTTTTC